AAATGACCATTTGCAAATGATAGTTTAGCCAGAAAACCCAAGAGACTAAATTGAAAAACCATTACAGACCATAGAAGATTTCGGCAGGGTGGCAGGAGTAATAGCTTACATATAAACAACCTTCATTACTGACAGAAAATTTCTTTTCTTTCTTTTTTTTTTTTTAAGAGGTTTTTGCTATAGGGCGCGAGCGAACGCCAGAAACAGAGACAGAAAGAGAGAAATCACTCCCCAGGGGGATGGCCACACCGCAATCCCTTCTCCTCCATTCTCCTCTCAGGATCTTGGGCACGCACGCACACGCACCCAGCATGAGTTTAAGCGACTGGGCCCAGGACATGAACCGCGGTCGACTACGTGGGAGTCCATTGACATAGCCACTGACAGAAAAGTCTAGCCAAAAAAGCCAAACTATCCAGAAGTGAACTTAACCCAAAATGTGCCAGATCTCAATGAAGCAAATGTTCAAACATTCCCGAGGGGCACGCAAAGTCTAAATGAACAGAAAGACTTATCATGTTCTTGAGAACGAAGACACCACAGACATGTCCTCTCTTCCTAAATGCATCTGTAAATATAATACAACCCCAGTAAAAACACACACGGACCTTTTGTTTTTAACCTGGGTAAGTGGAAATTCTATGGTTACCGTAATGACGAAAAAGGCCAACGAAATGGAGGGTGGAGTGGGATTAATAAGGAGTGAGTGACTCCACCAAATATTACAATGTCTCACACGCTGGGACCAGCAGATGGCGTAATGGCTATGTTGCTGGACTCCCACATAGTGGACCACGGTTGGAGTCCCGGACCCAGTGATTTAAAATTCACGCCAAGTGTGTATGTCCAAAATCCTGAGAGGAGATTGGAGAATGCGCACATTGCGGCGTGGCCATTCCCCCAGGGGATGATTTCTCACTTTCTGTCTCTCTGGTGAGCGTACACACCCTGTAGCCAAAAATCTTTTTTTTTGGGGGGGGGAGAGGTTTTTGCCCTCACCAGAGAGACAAAGACACAAAGCAAGAAAGTGAGAAATCACCCCCCAGGAGGGATGGCCACGCTGCAATCTCTCTTCCCTTCTCCTCTCGGGATCTTGGGCATGCACGCACACGCGCCTGCAGTGAGTTTAAGCCACCGAGTCCGGGACTCGAACCGCGGTTGACTACATGGGAGTCCAGCGACATAGCCATTATGCTAACTGCTGGTCCCTCCAAGACCTTTTGAAGTCCCTTCTTACATGCTACAATGTGGACGAACTTTAAGAATATTATGCTGCGGGAAAGAAGCCGGTCACAAAAGACCACATATGATATGAGTCTGCCCTTATGCAAGTCCAGGATAGAGAACTCTATGGAGAAAGGAGTGGGGGGCTGAGGAGGTGAGTGTTGGTGCGGGCTTTCTTCCCGAGGTGATAGAAATGTGCTCTGAAATAGCCCCTGATGACGGCTGCACAATTCTGTGACTATACTAGGAACGACTGAATCGTACAGTTCAAATGGGTGAATGGTTTATGAAAGTGTATTTCAATAAAGGTGTTAATGTTAAAAAATGTGTGTGTGTGTGTGTTTTGCTGTAGAGTGTGTATGCCCGCCAAAGACAGAGGGGATGGGGGGAATGAGAAATCATCCCCCAGCAGGGATGGCCACTCTGTCATCCCTTCCCTTCCATTCTCCTCTCGGGATTTGGGGCATGCACACATGTGCGCCCCGCAAGTTTTTCAAGCTATTGGGTCCAGGACTTGAACCACACAGTCAGCCATGCAGGATCCAACCACCTCACCTACGCCACCTGCTGGCCCCAACATCACTTAATGTGTTACCACACCACAATAATTACCACAGTATTGCACTGATACTTGAGTATCTTTTTTTTTCCATCCAGAGTACACTGTATATTGTCTCAATCAAGCACATCAACAAACATGTTATTGTCAGCAAATAATTTTCCATTTCTTGTTTTTTGTATGTTTTGCTTTCCCCCCCATCCTTGTTCCCTATCTCTTAACCTCTGCCATCTCCCACTCTCCTCCCACAATACTTGAGTATCTTTTGATCCACCCTTCACACCAGATAAATTATAAAATAATCAGAGATCATGCATTTTTAAAAATACCACAGGGAATGAACAGTGGAGAAGTGGGTAAAACATGATTATTTTGCAAGGCTGACCCACTTGGGAAGGTTTGAGTCAGGAAGGTTCCAAGTTCAAGTCAGGAGTGCTCCCTGAGTACACCAGGTGTACACTTGCTCATTAGCTCATCTGGCTTGGGATGGATGGTGCTGTCAAGACCTTGCTGGGGTGGGGTTAGCAGGTCATGTGATGGTTAAGGCACTTGACTCTCACAAGGCTGACCACAGTTCAAGTCCCAGACCTGGCAGCTTGCTGTCTCAGTGCCCCACCCCCACCCCCTCTGGTCAGTGCACATGCCCTATAGCAAATTTAAAAAATGTATAATTAAAAAATAAATAATTCCTTTAAAAAAGAAACTCCGCTGGTGGTATGCATGTACATGTGCACATGCTATAATGGAACTAAGTAAAACTTTTTTTTAAAGAGATTTTTACTATAGGGCATGTGTGCTTGCTGGAGAGACAGAGAGATAGAAAGTGAGAAATCACCCCACATGGGGGATGGCCATGCTGCAATCCCTTCTCGTCTTGGGATTTGGGGCACACATTCACAAACGCCCAGCATGAGGTGTTTTTTTTAATTTTTAAATATTTATTTATTATCATTATTCTTCAATTTTGATTAGAGAGAGACAGAAAGGGGGGGGGGGGGAGAAAGCAATCTGCCAGGTCTGGGACTTGAACTATGGTCAGCCATGTAGGAATCCAGCACCTCAACCACCACTCCACCTTCCAGCCCCATGCTCGGATTTAAGCCACCAGGTCCAGGACTCAAACTGTGGTCGATTATGTGGGAGTCAAGGAACATAACCATTAAGCCATTTGCTGGTCCTCAAACTTTTTAAGAATTACCATAAAAAAACTAGAAACCTTTAAAATATTTAGATCATACACAGACACACACAGACACACACACACCCACACATATAAAAGAACTAGCAGGAAACTGAGGGGACTTTAAACAAGAATCTTAGCCTGAGGAAGGACTTTCTAAGTAGGAGACAAAGTCTAAATGCGGTAAGAGCAAATACCGACAGATTTCACTTCCCAAAGAGACGCCTCCATGGCAGAATACAAAGACAGATGACAGACTGGAGAAAACACCTGCAGCGCATATGACGGACAGAGTTCTCATTCCATCATATACAAATAGCTTCTTCAAATCAATAAGTACGAGAACAACCCAATCGGAAAAAATAAACCGAGCAGATAAGTAGATTATTCAGAGGAAAAACAAACGGCCCAAACACAAAAACATGTCCAGACCCATTCACGTTAAGCTGCATTAAAATGACATGGGCTGGCTTTCGCCGCTCAGGTGAGCGAGGCCTGGAAGTCTGAGACCGCACTGTGAGGGGGAGGGTGTGGGGAAACAGACCCTCGCTCAGTGCTGTGGAGTCTCAATCCGTACAACATGTAAAGCTGTCAGTCTGGCCGAAACTAGCAACATTACAAACATGCATACTGGTAAGTTTTTCTCATAGGGCGCGTGTGCTCACAGGAGGAAGAGAGAGAGAAAGCGAAATCACCCACCGGGTGATGGCCACACTGCAATCCCTTACTCTCCTTTCTCCTCGCGGGATTTTAGACACACACACATGTACCTGGCGTGATTTCCAAGTTGTCAGGTCTGGGACTCGAACCGCAGTGGGCTATGTGGGAGTCCCATGCTTTAACCACTATGCCACCTGCTGGTCCCCAAACACGCATACCTTTGACCAATATTTCTGTTTCTAGAAATCTACCGTGTAGCTCTACCCAGGCCCTTGGGACACGTACAGGGTTTTTACCGTTCCTTTGCTCATATGGCCACAGGCCGGTAAGGTACCGACTGAATAAATTATGTCACCTTTGCTATGGGAACCATGTGGCTGAGAATGACGAAGCTCCTTAGAAGCTGACGGCCACACATACACCCACATATACACTGCAAACTGCAAAAGGGAGGGGGCAGTGTGTAAAAGGAGTGTGCACAGTAAGGGCTGGGACACACACCAAACATGTCCCGGAAGGCCCCACAGGAAGCTGACCACACTAGCTGCCTCTGGGAAGGGAAGAGGGGTGATGGCGAAGAGGGGGCTTTTGTCTGCACACCCCTTCCCTCCTCTGGAGTACTAGAGCACACAGATATGTTACCTTGTCCGAGGAGAACATTTAAAAAGAAAAGAAACCATGAGCGTGATAAATGGAAACTGACCCTGGGCTGGAGGGCAGAGGCACCAGGGAGGGGGAGGACTGAGATGAACTGGAATGAATGTCCCCTTTTATTTTTTCCTTTTTTTGGGGAGAGGTTTTCACTATAGGGCACGTGCGCTCACCAGACAGACAGAGACATAGAGACAGAAAGCGAGAAATCACCCCCCAGGGGGGATGGTCACGCCGTAATCCTTTCTCCTCCATTCTCCTCTCGGGATCTTGGGCACGCATGCACACGTGCCCGGCGTGAGTTTTAAGCCATCGGGTCTGGGACGCGAACCACGGTCGACTACGTGGGAGTCCAGCAACATAGCCATTATGCTAACTGCTGGTTCCCTTATTTTTTCCTTTTTAAAATTTGCCAGAGAGAGGGAGGGAGAGAGCACTGCCCAGCATGGGGTGTGGTCATGACGTAAGCCCTCCTCCTCCACGTCTGTCCTGTTGGAGGGGGAGGCAGACTGATAGGCAGAGGCCTGGAGGCTGAGAGCACATAGACTTCCAGACAGGGCCATGGTACATGGACACACTGGTGGCAAATGGCCTTCCCGACCAGGGCCTGACTGCAAAGTCCTGAGGCAGACGCACACTCGGTCAGGAGCAGAAAGCAAGCCCCAGTGGCTCAGACCACCCTGAAGACCAGAAGAGGGGCAGGGGGCTGGGGCGGCGTCCACTCACATTTGCGTAGCTCCAGGCTCTTGCTCGGGCAGGCCAGGTGCTGGCCCGGTGGGTTCTGGGTTCTCTGCAGACAGGCTAGCATGGCTGAGCCGGGGGCCCCCGGTGGGGTGCACTCTGTGGCAGGGTCCCTGCAAAGACAAAGGAGATAAGGTGGTTGGTTACTTGAGGGATGCTCCATGCCTCCCATCAGCCTTGATGCAAGTCCCTGCTGGCATCCTCCCTCCCCACAGCACCCTGCAAATTTTCAAAGCAGAACCCCGTCTCCCTTATAGAATGGGTGGGGAGACCCCCCCCCACCTTACCTCAAAGGCATCAGGGGGTTCAGGCCTTACAGGGAGGGGAAGAATCCAGGTCTTTGGTGTGGGGAACATTCACCATGGCAGGGCCACAAGGACAGTCAGACACACCCCCAGCCCCACTCTGCAGGTCACTTCCTACAGGGGGCTGCCCTGCTGCCTGACCCTGGCACTCTTGGAACCTGCTGTGAGATTTAGCCCAGAGCTCCAACCAGACCGGATACCCTACCTGGCCATCTTTGGGATCGATGTGGAAGAGTATCCGGGAAATGCCTGTGGTCGCCGAGGTGTCCCTGCTCACCCCTCACTGGGGTGTCCTCGCAGCACCCTCAGAGGGCAGATGTCCGGGATGGCGTCCCTGGGGAAACCCTGACCTGTGCTGAGCCCTGAGCCTGGCCCCCCTGGGCCACCAAGGCTGCCCTGCCCAAGCTCCTCCCCTGAAACAGGCTAAGCCAGAGGCCTGTCCCCCTGGGGTACAGCTCAGGTGAGGCTCCGTGAGCTCATAGCCTCACACACCCTGAGCCGATGTCTGGGATTACACAGAATCTTCATGAAACCCTCTCTCCTGCCAAGAACACTGAGGGGGGCTGAGGCACGTTCCCCAGAGCCCGCAACCCCTGAGTGTGGGGTACAGGCAGGTCTGAGCGCAACCCTGGGACCCCCTCCTGTCCACCATCCCAGGCACCCTGACCCCGTCGCCTCCTAACCACACGCCACCTCCAGATCCGAGCAGCCAACCTGGGTCAGCTCAATCCTCCTGTTGGTTTGAATAATGAAGACAGACGAGGGGAGTGTGTGTTTAAGGGGAAGAAAGGGAAGTTATTTAATACTAAACAGGTGTCTGCAGCCCTAAATTCTGCCGCTTTCTTCTCATAATGAAGTATTCATGAGGAAAAGCCTTTTTTCCCTACTTTCTTAAGATACTAATTTCACAACAAGCTCCTTGTTACGGCGCAATTATTCCAATCTTGTATTTCCCCGAGACGGGTGCAGCTCCCGTCTGTCCTGGCCTCTCGGTAAATGAAAGACAATCACGTAACCACCTTTCATTATGCGCTATTTTACTTTCAGCAAAGGTACCCTGAAAGAAATGATTTCCTCTGAAAGGGACTTTTATTCAGTTTCAAAACCAATTTTCTCCTATTACTGTCTCAAAAAAAAAAAAAAAAAGAGAGAGAGAGAGAGAAAGTGGGGGAGGGAGGGCGGGGAGGGGGTGCTCATCCTCCACCCCCACCCCGGTCGCCAGCCTTAACAACGCAGCGACACGGGAAGAACTGCAGTATCCACTTCTCGGCTTTGATTCCTGGTAATTTTAAAATAGGCCATTACAATCAGGCAGAAATTATACAGTTTAAGGAGGGAATGGAGTGGGGCTTGTTGTAGGGATGGAAGTCCTTGACTGCAGGAAAGCAGCACAGCTCCTCCGGGACTGGGGACGTGAGCAGGTGGCGGAGCAGGCCTGGCTCGGCTGCCGCCACTACCGCCACCGTCTTAGGCCGCAGCCCTCTGGGATGTATGCACACACACGGGCACGCTCTGCCCTGCTCCTGCCTGCCATGCTGGACGTCCGTGCCTGCGCGTGCTCCTGAACGTACGTACATACGTATTACTCACACTTAACGACCGTGCGCAGCCCGGGAGGTAAGAGGCCCATGGCAACCCTCCTTGCCCTTCTCTCTCTGGGGCAATGGCCACCTCGTGCTGCCCTGATGCACAGTAGGGACAGAGAGGAGAGCTGGACAAAGCCAACACGAGCCCTCTCCCACAGGTGGGAAGCCCGCCCCTCACCCTGACCTCCTCCGCTGCCCCTGGACAGGTTGTCCTCGGTGCGGGAGGAGGCGGTCAGGGAACTGGTGCCCTCAGGACACCTAGGCTGGGAGCCCAGAACTCCCCTACTTGTGTGACCCCAGGTAGACTACTGGCCCCTGGCTGGTCAAGGTGGCTTCCTGACTCCTATGGCCCCACCCAGGTCACCACCTAGAGTCCTGGCCACGTCCTGGGGCCCAGAAGCACCCCCACCCCTGCCAACCCCCGTGGGCCATAACATCCCAGTGGGCTCTGCAGGTGAAAAGGGCAGATGGGGGGCTACAGCCGTCTGGAGTGACGGGCAGGCTGCTCATCTGGAGCCTCGCCGGACCCCCTCCACTGCCCTCCCCATGGGCGGTGGCTTTCAGAGTGCTCTGACGGCGGATGATCAGGCGCTTCTGGGAGCCCTCCTTCCGGGGACCCTGAGGGACCTCCAACTGAGCTCGGGGTCACAGATGTCTAGAAGGAGAAGGTACCAAGCTAGGGCCTCAGCTCAGCGGTTTCAGGCAGCTGCTGGACCACCGGGGGTGGGCCGGAGTCTCCCCAGAACCCATGTCCTGCTGCTGGGGGCAGGTGGGGCCTGAGGCGCACGGCCACTGTCTCCAGGTCTCCTGTCATCCCTGTGATCGGCAAACGAGGTAAAGTCAGGTCCCTCTCCTTGGCTCCCACACTTCTTTCTGACCTCAGGGTCGAGATGGCGGTGCAGTGGTAACACGACTGGACCCATCTGCCAAGGTCCTGGGTTCTCCTCCCAGAACCTCCCTGTGCACGGAGGCCATGAGGCATGTCCATGATCAGGCGGTGGCTGGGAGGGGGCTGCAGCGTGAAGGCCCTCTTGGGGGTGCCTCTCTTTCTCTGCCCCTCTCTATCACTGAAGAAGGAAAGAAACTTAAAAAGAGGAAGAGTAGTGCCCAAACTCAAAGCTCCTACAGCCTGCCCCACCCCATCAGCTCCCTCCGAGCTTCCCATCAGCCTCGCTGCCTCCAAACCTTGGCAAGCGCTGGTCCCTCTGCCCACAGCATGGCGATCCTGATCCATTTTCACTTCGATTTGTCTTTTCAAACTCTGGCTGAGCGCCCCCCTCCTGGGTATCCCCCATCCCAGCCCTAATCACACTGAGTTGTAATTGCCAATTCTCATGTCTGTCTCTCTCCACTGGACTGTGAGTTTCTTAAGGGCAAAGATCATGTCTTGTTTGTCTCTCTCTCCCCGGTGCCTGGCAGAGAGTAATTGTTTCATAAATAGGTGTTGAATGAATGGCTGAATCAATGACTGGGTTATTGTCAGATGAAGTGACGGAGGCCCAGAGAAGCCAAGCGTCCTGGCCAAGGTCACACAGCAAGTCAGAGACAGGACTGAAGGAGGTGCCTAAGACACTCAGGATCTTCCTGTGACCCCATGCCGCTCCCTCCCTGCCTGGCATCTTTCCATGTGCCGAAAGCCAGTCCCTCAGAGCCCCCACCTGGATTTATGAATCCCCAGCCTGGGACCTTCTGGAGAGCTCTGCTCATTTTGAAACCCTATCTGCCAATCAGACTGTTTATAAGCTCAAGGTCTTTTATGACTTTAATAAAAAAAAGAGGGGGGGGGAAAACGTTGCAAACCTCGATGATTAGAATGCTGTGGCACCCTCCCTGACATGGGGGCTGATAAGGCGCCTTATCTCCGAGACACCCAAGGAAAAGGTCCCCTCCACCAGATAACGCCCCCAGCTGTCGATATGCCCTTTCAGAGCTGAGGATTTAGATAAAGGGAATGTGACAGGGGAGGGGAAAGGAAGGAACTTTGCAGGTCCAGGAGAAGGAATTGTGTCTGTGCTGCTTGTCTGGTAGAACAATGACTCAGAGGTGGGTGTCTAAAAGCAGTCTTTATTTTTATTAAGAGCACAAGGAACCGGGGGCCTCTGGCCAGCCTGCCTTTTGTCTCTCTGCCTGGCTGCAGGGGACATCGGAGCCCCGTGCCAGCGGGCGAGGGAGCTCAGAAATAACAGCGAATGCTGGTGCTAACGACAGCCTCCGTGCCAAGCCCTGTGCCC